AGGAAATATTATATATATTTAATATACAACAAAAGATGTTCCCATTGCTCTCATGCCTCAGGAGATTCTAAAAGTTTGAGGGACTGTGATCCAGGAACCATGGATGAAGGCCAAATATATATGAGAAATATATTTTGGTCATCTGAATGGCCAAATATATAAATTCCTTATAAATCACAGTATCACAGAAATGGAAATCTTCCACGTATTAGCTTTGAGCCACATATTGCTCTCAGACCATCCTAAGCATCAAGTTAGAAAGAATGTCGTGGGAAACTGTTTGACCTTGGGAATGAAAGGATAGAGGGAAAGGAATTTATTAGAGGATCAGCTTCAGCACATATAGTCTTTCCTTACATTGAGCCCTTACCCCATCTTATCAGGCATGATAATTTATTAGACTCATCTCCTTGACTACAGTGTAGGGCCACTAATGATTGAGTCAGTCAGTCAGTGGATGCCTCTTTTGGGTGATAGATTGATTGGTTGTTAAAAGGATCTTCTTTGTAAGACAACACAAAAGAATAGTTTGAAAATGCCTACATTTTAAGACATTTGTAGAGATAACAGAAAGTGATTCTCACACTTGTGGTACCACACAGATGGAAGTTGGAGCCAGGCAGGTGGTGGTCAGAATTCTCAAATACAGGGTGGGATTGTCATTTCTCTTCAAGTGGAAGAGAAAAAATTATCTGACAAAAGGTAAAATTCAGTTTGATCTTCTTTTTGCCCTAATAATAAAGAGTAACTCTCAAATATGACTAGTGAGCAGATTTTATTTATATTCTGAAGTAATAATAGTACTCCAAATAATCACCTGAATTAGCAAGTACAAAGCAAACAGTAAAGATTTAAGGAACATTCCAGAATAGATTACTGCTATGAAATACAAGCTTGAGAGTTAGATAAAAAGAGTTGATTGTGAAAATGGTACATTTTCAGTTTTAAACATTTTATGCAGCAAATTTCAATAATATAATAGTATACAATTTCTTTCTTTCTTTTTTTTTTTTTTATTTGAGACAGAGAGAATGAGAGACAGAGAGCATGAGAGGGAGGAGGGTCAGAGGGAGAAGCAGACTCCCTGCCGAGCAGGGAGCCCGATGCAGGACTCGATCCCGGGACTCCAGGATCATGACCTGAGCCGAAGGCAGTCGCTTAACCAACTGAGCCACCCAGGCACCCAATAGTATACAATTTCAACAGGATAATTATAATAATATAATGAATCCTCCATGTCCACATCACCCAGCTTCAACACCTGTCAGCACAGGCCAGACTTCTTCCACGTGCCCGTCCCAGACACCCTATCAGTTCATCCATAAATACTTCAGTGTGTATTTCACAAAGACCAGAGTTGGTTTACCATCACCACAATACTATTACCACACCTAAAAATTAACCATTCTTTAATACCACAGTTACTGTTTGAATTGAGAATAAATCTTTTGAGAGAGCTCCATGTAAATAATTTAAAACATTTTCTTTTAAAATATTTTTAAATTAAAATGAATACACACATTATGTATAAGCATAAATATACAATGAAGTAGAATGTAAAGTTTGCACAAACCTTTTTGGTTAGTTTTACTTTTAAAAATTTCTTCAGGGGCACCTGGGTGGCTCAGTCAGTTAAGCCTCTGCCTTCGGCTCAGGTCATGATCCCAGGATCCTGGGATCAAGCCTCGCACTGGGCTCCCTGCTCACTGGGGAGTCTGCTTCTCCCTCTGCCCCTACCCCTGCTTGTGCTCTCTCTCAAAAATAAGTAAATAAAATCTTAAAAAAAAAATTTTCTTCAAACAGGGGTGCTTGGGTGGCGCACTCAGGTGAGCATCTGACTCTTGGTTTTGGCTCAGGTCATGATCTCAGGGTCCTGAGATTGAGCCCCATGTTGAGCCCCACGTCAAGCCCCAGGTGGGACTCCAAGCACTCAGCATGAGGTCTGCTTGAGATTCTCTTTCCCTCTCCCTCTGCCTCCCCACTCATGTTCTCTCTCTCTCTCTCTCGGATAAATAAATAAACCTTAAATTTTTTTTTAATTTAAAAAAATTTCTTCAAACATACATAGTCTGTTACATAAATATATAAATATGGTAATATATAAACCATTTTTTCTTGGACCCCTTTACCCATATAACCACACACACTGGTAATCTCTCAATCTGGTATCTGCTTTTCTAATTTTTTCTCTAAATTTATACTGGTCTGCTAAGCATTATAGATTACAGGGTAAACAATAAAGTCCCCGTGTTAGTTGAACTTACATTCTTGAGTTCCATATACTTACACTTATAAACATGTCTTATGTACATGTACTGTGAACATATCACACAGTTTTCTGATTCTTGATTTTCTCACTCATCACTATCAAGTCCACTGGTGTATTTCCCTTCATCCTCTTTAATGCTTGTGTAATACTTCAATCTATCCTATAAACTGTTTGACTATTTCCCTGATAGTAAGTATTACCTTTCTTTGTTTATCTTTTTTTTTTTTTTTTTTTTGCTGCTATAGACATCCTTACACATGTGTTATTCCTTCCCAGTGTTTTTATTTCTATAGATTTCAGTCCCTAGAAGTACAGCTGTCAGGTCTGGATGTGTATATTTATATCAAGAGTACAAAGATTCATTAGGGGAAAAGCCATGATAAAGGAGGGATGCTAAGAGAGACAGACATGCCGGAACCATGAGAAGAATATCAAGGAGGATGAAGGATCAGCTGGGTCACATGTGGAGTCCACAGCAGGGCTGACTCTTTCCTAATTCTTTCTGCCTAGAGGCACTTAGAAAAATATTTTTCCCTCTATTCTTAAAGTTCTACATTGTTACTAGAAAATGCCTGGACACATGCTTTTTCTCAACAAATTGGCCTCAATCTGGGCTAACTCTTTTAAAAAGGCAGACTTTCAAGAAAATGAGAAGACAAGCCACAGACTGGGAGAAAACAGTTGCAAAAGACATATCTGATAAAAGACTGTTTATCAAAATTTTTTTATAATTTTTTAAATTAAATTCAATTTAGTTAACTTATAGTGTATTATTAGTTTCAGCGGTAGGATTTAGTGATTCACCAGTTGCATATAACACCCAGTGCTGTTATGCAAAGAAGTTTCAAACTCACCACTAAGAAAACAAACAACCCAATTTAAAAATGAGCCGAAGATCTGAACAGACACCTCACCAGAGAAGACATACAAATGACAAACAAGCATATGAAAAGATGTTCCACATCGCATGGAACTTAAAACATACAACTTAAAACAATGATGAGATGCCACTGCACACCAACTGGCCTGGCCAAAATCTGGAACATTGACAACACCAAATGCTGGCGAGGACGTGGAGCTGCAGGGACTCCCACTCACTGCTGGGGGGCACGCAACATGGCACAGCCGCTCTGCAAGACCCTTTCTTCCAAAACTAAACATACCCTCATCATACAATCCAGCAATTGCACTCCCTAATATTTACCCAGGTGAATTGAAAACTTATCTCCACATAAAAAACCCACGCTCAGATATTTCTGGGAGTTTATTCATAATTGTCAAAACTTGGAAATAACTTAGATATTATTCTGTAGGTGAATGGATATATAAACATGATATGTCCTGACAATGGAATACTACTCAGGGATGAAAAGACATAAGACATCAATCCATGAAAAAAACACAGAAGAACCTTAAATGCATGCTACCAAGTGAAAAAAAAAAACCAATCTGGAAAAGTTGTATACTATATGATTCCAACTATATGACATTTTGGAAAAGGCAAAACTATGGAGGCAGTGAAAAGGTCAGTGGTTGCCAGGGGTTGGTAGAGGATGGATAGAAGGAACACAGGATTTGTAGGGCAGTGAAGCTACTCTATATGATACTGTAATGATGGATACACAACATTGTGCCTTTGCCCAAACCCATGGAAGGTACATCATCACAAGGGAAAGCCCAGTGTGAACTATGGACAATAATAAGGTCAGTGTGGATTCATTTACTGTAACCAGTGAACACTCTGGCAGGGGATGTTGATGGTCAGAGAGGCTTCGGGGTGGTGGGGAGTGGGTCTATGGGAACTCTCCGTGCCATCTGCTCAATTTTGCTGTAAACCTAAAACTACCCTAAAAAATAAAATCTATTAAAATTTTTAAGAGGAAAAAAAGAAACGGGCTCAAGTCTGCTTCAGTTCAGGAAAGTCTTCTGTTATCATTAGTATAGTAGTTGCCCCTCCTCTGTTGCTCCTTTCCCTCTTTCTGCTCCCACTACTCACAGTTCAAGGTTTTAGGATCTACCTTCCAAGCTTCTTATCTTTTCCACTTGCTTTCCGTCTCTTCTTATCTTTGCTCTATGTCAAAATATTTCTTGCCTTTGATTTTCTAGGATGCTAATTCAGATCCCCTGGTGATTTTCCTCTCCTTTAATTAATCTCTTGAATTGTATTTGGTTAGGAAGTTATGATTTTTAGCTCCAGAAAGTTTTTTTGTGCTATATTTAAATCTCCTTCAATACACTAATATTTTTTAAAATTCAAATTGTCTTGTGTCTCCTCCAGCAGCCCTGTTTGTTTTGCCGGGTCTTCCTCTCTCTAGGCAAGAACCTGAGAGGGGATATTGTTTTGCATCATTGGCTCCTGCTTTCACGTGCCCTGATGGTAGCTGCCCTCTCACCTGTGTGGTCCAGGTCACTAAAGCAGAGGTGCTCAGTCTCTATTGAGGCCAAAGCGTCCATGTCAGGGTCAAAGGCAGGAAAGACCCAGCCCACCCATTCAGTTGCCCCCTGGCCTCTTCAAGACCAGGTAGCTCAAGCACATGCACATGGAACTTATGTCAACCTTACCCCTGGGGCTCCTCAGAGCCCGAAGTCCCCTTGCACCCCACTCCCGATAAAGCCCAGTAGTCATTTGCCTCAGAATAAGGGCAGGGAGACTGGAGTGGGAGCAGAGGGTGGGGGACCTATGTTTAGTAGGGGGTCTTCCCAGAGTCCCAGCATGAACCCTCAGACATACCGTGACTTCAAATGCAAGTCCAAGCAGCATCAGGAAGCCCCAGAGCATTCTGGTAGTACACATTGTTCTCTCTCTACTGCTGATGGTGTTTGGCTGGGCACAGTTGAGAAATATGGGGCCAGTGAAACCTGGAAGAAACAGGGAAGTGAGAATAAGCAGATACACTAAAACAGATGCTTGGAAAACAAAGGTCTTCAGAAGGAATTCTCAGAACGTGACTACCTGGTTCAGTCGCACTCAGCTAGTCAGATTAGTGTGTCTGCTTGGGCTGGGTTAACAAAATAACAGACTGGGCAGCTTGAAGAACAAACACTTATTTCTCACAGTTCTGGAGGCTGGGAATCCAAAATCAAGGTGCCAGCCAATTCAGCTCCCGTGAGAGCCTCTTTCCGGCCTTCAGACGGCTGCCTTCTCGCTATGTGCTCACATGGCAAACAGAGAAATCTTTCTCTCTTCCTTTTCTTATAAACCACTAATGCCATCATGAGGGCCCCAACCTCATGACCTCAAACCTAATCCTAATTACTGCCAAAGAGCCTCATCTCCAAATTGAGGTGTTAGGGCTTCAGTACATGAATTGGGGGGGTGGAGGGGGACATTATTCAGTGCACAACAGAGTATTGCAGTGAACTGCTATATAACAAACTCCCAACTTCCAGTGGCTTAATGTTATAGAAGGTTATTGCTCACATATATAAAATCCAACTGGAAGTAGGGTGTGGTTCGTGTAAACATTTAGGGTCTGAGCCATCTTTGACAGCTGATTCCCAAGGTCATTTGAGGACTCACCATCCCTTCAGCAGAAAGGAGGAAAAATCAGGCTCCTGCATGAGAGGTTTTTCTAGGCCAGCTCTGGAAATTATCCACATTAATTCCATCCACATTCCATTAGCCAGAACTCAGTCATGTGGCCTTACCTAACTGCAGGAGAGACTGGGAACTGTAGTCTGACTGTGCACCCAGGAAGAAATGTAGACTAACTATACCAAGGTTCAGGTTTGGTAAGCATCTGGCGCATCTTCCCAGAAAACCTTATTCATGAAGATATTGTACATGTGACCCACAAAGATTCACTTCCCCAAACTGTTATTAATTACCCAGAAGCATAGGCTTATGTCATAACCAACAGGTCAGCAGCCTTGTTGTCTTTTGACCCTGGGTGCCTAAAGACAGGATTTCAGGGCCCCTGTCTGGTAGATAAACTGGTAGGTCCACATGCAAAGACTGCATGCCAGGGAGGCACCCCTTAGATCATCCCTTTCAATGGGGGCCAGTAGGGTATCTGGATCTATATCCTTCATCTCTAGATTTTATCTTCAAGATATTGCTCAAACCCACCTCTTCTCCCCATCTCTGCCTCTGCCACCTTCATCCCAGCCTCCATCAGTTCACCTTTCACCTAGACCACGCAGGCCTTCCAAATGGTCCCCTATGTTCCTTCTCTCTTCTTTCCATCCATTCTGTGCCCCAAATTAAATACTGCCACTATTTCCCATTGCTCTTAGAAAGCAAAACTCCAAACATGGCCTACCAGGGCCCACAGGGCTCCTTCCTACCTGTGACCCCATCCCCCTCCACAGCCCACTGGGCTCCAGCCACACTGGCCCTTTCTGTCCCACATGCTTTTCCCTTCACGGTTATGACATAAGCCTATGCCTCTAATTGTGCACTGAATAATGTCCCCCTCCACCCCCCAATTCATGTACTGAAGCCCTAACACCTGGTGGGAGATGAGTCCCATCTCAATTTGGAGATGAGGCTCTTTGGCAGTAATTAGGATTAGGTTTGAGGTCATGAGGTTGGGGCCCTCATGATGGCATTAGTGGTTTATAAGAAAAGGAAGAGAGAAAGATTTCTCTGTTTGCCATGTGAGCACGTAGCGAGAAGGCAGCCGTCTGAAGGCCAGAAAGAGGCTCTCACGGGAGCTGAATTGGCTGGCACCTTGATTTTGGAGGTCAGGAGGTGGGATGGAGGGAGAAGTGTGCCAGGTGAAGGGAAAAGAGGTATTTAGGAGCTTTAATTAGTAGGGAATTCCAAGCAGATTTGGGTTGAGGTAGTAGATTAGAGGAAAATAAGATTTGTTTCTACAGCTTTCTTGGCTTTAAAGTCCCAAATCTCTGGGGTTAGGAATATCTTTTTACTTCTTAGTACAGGGAGGGTATTTTTCATATTGGAGATTTATTTCCTGCTTTCAGGGCGACAAAGGAGGGTCTGAGTGTCCTTGCCACTGGCTGTTTCTTAAGTAACTTTTATTTAAAATAATAAAAAAATAATAATAATCAATGCGCCAAGAGAGGCACTTTTTGGGGCAGCCTGCCCTCGGCCCCTGCATATACATGTTCACTAAACTTTTATTTTTCTCCTGTTAATCTGTCTTGTATCAATTTAATTATTAGACCAGCCAAAGAACCTAGAAGAGAAGAAAGGAAAATTTCTGCCCCTACATATAACCTCCTAGGCTCTATTATGTGTCTCCTTTGTCACACGCACCGATTTGGGCCATATTGGATAGATATTATAATTTCCACTACCCTTATAGAGGGTAAGTTCCCAGTAGGCATTGGGCCCCCGGCTGCCAGGCAAGTTGTCTGGCACAGAGCAGGTAAGTAGTAAGAATGTGCTGGAAAAATGAAACAAGGACAGAAGTGCATATGAATAGTTCTCCGCCATTTACAAAGTGCTTTTGTACGAAGTATGACATGTGACCTTCACAACTTCACTTTCAAGTGGATTTTAGCACTTCCTTTCTACAGATGAGAAAGCTTAGTTTCATTTTACTCCCCTGTGGGTTTTTAAAATGCTATTTTATTATTCCTGCTCTTTGTCCTTTTTATTTGTCTTTATCCTTTTTGGGATTTACTCTATTGCTCTTTTCCTTACTTCTTAAGTTGAAACTCAGCTCACTGATTCATGAAACTTTTTTTATAAATACATTTAAAGCCAAAAGTTTCCCTGTATACATATTGCTTCAGCTACATCCCACAATTTGTGGTAGTGGTTTTATTATTATTCAGTTCAAAATATTTAAATTCCCCATTATGATATTTTCTTTGACCTATGAATCATTTGGAAGTATTTGTTTAATTTTTTAAATACTTATATAACACATTTTGGATATCTTTTGAGTTGTTGCTTTCACATTGTGTTGTATTTTGGTCAGACTTTTTATTATTGATGATGCTAATCCTTTGGTTTTGTTGAGATTTCCTTTATGGTCAAGTATGTGACTAGCTTTTTCTTTTTTTAAGATTTATTTATTTTAGAGAGGGGGTGGGAGGGGCAGATGGAGAGGGAGAGAGAGAATCTTGAGCAGACTCCCTGCCAAGCATGGAGCCCAACTCGGGTCTCAATCCCAGGACCCTGAGTTCATGACCTGAGCTGAAACCAAAAGTTGGAGGCTTAACTGACTGCGCCACCCAGGCACCCTTTAACCAGCTATTTTTAAATGTCCCTGGAGGGCTAGAAGCCTGAAAATTACATCCGAGAAGGCCCAGGTTGTCAGTGGCAACATGGGGGGAGGGACAACTGAGCCACTGTCAGGAGGGACAAGGGTCTGTATCCAAGGGTGGCAGTGAGTTGGGGCTGAGGGAGTAGAGGATCCTCAGGGCATTCTGAAATGTCATCTAGAGACAATATTACCCATCTCAGTGTGTCATTACTATTTCTAATTAATTCCGTGAATCCATCAGGGTCTTTGAGGTTACTTTGAAAGGAAGCTTGGAAAAGTGGGTGGTTTTCTCCTTTCATTGTTGGGTGACTAATGGAGCAATCTTGTTTTGCTTTCTGGCATGAGATCCTGTGAATATTTTAAGAAAGAATAGAGACCTTTTCATTCAACCCAGAGCCTCTGTTTTTAAACTCCTCAGGAGCTCCCGGGACGAAAGCACCTCCGCAGCTCTCCTCCACCCAAGCAAAAAAACAAGAACTCCACGTGTGGGACTCACGCACCACATAAAATGGAGATGTTAACTTCATTCATGATTTTTAAAGCATGACCTCAAAAATCCTCAGAAAATGAAGCTAATGGCCCATGTGTTCACCTTCATCATTAGAAATCCAAAAAGAAGTGTCTGTTATGTCATGAACAGACACTTCTCCAAAGAAGACATACAAATGGCTAACAGACACATGAAAAATGTTAATCATCATTAGTCATCAGGGAAATTCAAATCAAAACCACGTTGAGATACCACCTTACACCAGTTAGAATGGCAAAAGTTGACAAGGCAAGAAACAACAAATGTTGGAGAGGTTGTGGAGAAAGGGGAACCCTCTGAATGGATAAAGAAGATGTGGTCCATATATACAATGGAATATTACTCAGCCATCAGAAAGAATGAATACCCAACTTTTACATCAACATGGATGGGACTGGAGGAGATTATGCTAAGGGAAATAAGTCAGAGAAAGTCAATTATCATATGGTTTCACTTATTTGTGGAACATAAGGAATAGCATGGAGGACATTAGGAGAAGGAAGGGAAAAACGAAGGGGGGAAAATCGGAGAGATGAACCATGAGAGACTATGGACTCTGAGAAACAAACTGAGGGTTTTAGAGGGGAGGGGGTGGGGGGATGGGTTAGCCCAGTGATGGGTATTAGGGAGGGCCCGTACTGCATGGAGCACTGGGTGTTATACGAAAACAATGGATCATGAATCACTACATCAAAAACTAATGATGTATTGTATGGTGACTAACATAACATAATAAAATAAAATTTTAAAAAAAACTTGCAAAAAAAAAAAGAAGACCAAAAAGAAGCATCTTTTGATGAAATTCAACCCTTTGGGTTCTAGGGGCTTCACAGCACTGGGGGGCCCTCCTGTGGAGGATCCTGCAGTGAAAGTTGCCGTAATTCCAAAGACACAGGATGTCACCCAAGTCAGGGGGAAAATTCAGCAGAGAGGAAGGTGAAGTACCGCCCAAATACATTGGCACCAGGCTGGGTGGGCTTTCAAATGCCAAGCAATGACTGAAGCAGGATTGCCTGAATTCCCAGAATCCCACTCGCCCTCATGATTAGGGGTACAAAACAATCTGTGGGTCTGGGAGGACACACATGCTCATATCACAGTGAGAATTATGTTTAATCACTCAGAGCTTTAATGACCTCATGATTACTAAA